TTTTACAGGACCTGAAACGAAAAACCTCGTCTTACAGCCATCAAAGTTTCCACGCTACTCCTGTGGACCCTATTTGAGGCTTGGTCAATTGACAAACTAAACGTAATGCCTGAGATATTTCTTGGCCTGGGCATCACTGCATCATTGATCAGCTTTTGGAGATTCTTTGCGGCACAGGTACTAAGCATTCAGAAACGAAACTAATTGGTTGATTCCTAGTGTGGTCGGAGATTGAGTTACCCCGCTGTCGAGAGCGTCAAGCTTTTTTAGCCTAACTTACGTTCAGTCTGGGTTACGTAATCGTGCCCAGCCATCGCGGGCCATGGGTGGGGCGACTGCTGGGCACGAATAAGTCACGAATCACCGAGATTAAATGGAACTTTGACAAGCAGACTCATAAGTTGGCGGAATGGCGAGCCAGAGTGGCATACGCACTTCAACCACGCTCCTGTGTTGGCCCACCAGACCTGGATGGTTCGAAGATGTGCAGGGGTGCTTATCTAGCTAGCCCCTGATGTTTGTCGGCACCATGTACGTACCCGGTACAGCGCAGAGGACCAGAATAGATGGGCCATCTTGTACACAAATGAGGTTGACCCAATAAGACTGAAGACCATACGCGGGAAATAATCACCGAGTCCAAGAGTGGCGCACAAGCTAAGCTCAAACAATATCTCCCGGCTCCCATCCTGATTGGACACGATATCAAGATTGAACTTTCGCAAAAGTCTCATCTTTTCCATGCTGTCTGATCAGCTATAACAGGTACATGCTTACTGCCTAATATACACAAAATTACATATATATTTGATCCAGACAACATCAGCAGCCAGTAATCTACATGTCGGCATTTCATTTGTAAGAGAGGTTGCGCTTCACGGCCATGAAGGCGAGGGACCAGAGCTGACGGATGTCCGATTCTGACATGAAAGTGTTAGTTATATCTATCGCAATCTAGTAAAAGAGGAGGAATGGCAAAGAAAAAAGTAAAAGGGGAATACGAACCAGTCTGCCCACCCACACCAGGCGGAGGCGGCATAACGCCCAGCGGCATAACCTGGAACTGCCCGTTCTTATACAGCCACGACCAGACCTCACCGGCGACTTCCTTGGAGTTCGTATCAATAGAATCCCAGAGGGTATTGTACGCAACCTTGACATTGTCATAGACCGAAGAGTCATAACAGAAGGCCGGGGCAGATGCAGAACCGTCGCAACGCGCCATCTGGAGCTCGAGGCCCTTGGCCATCATAGCCAGCGGCCAGGACCAAACAACCGTACCGTGGTAGGCGCCGGTGGTCCAGTTCTGGGCATAGACGGGGTTCAGGCCGTAGGCCGGGTTGGCGACGACCATGCTGGCGCCGGTCATCAGCCCCGCCGGGAAAGTGCGGCGCACGTTCGAGGCTGTTTGGTTGACAAAAGAGGTCAGCTGGGCGTCGTTGGTTGTGTTGAGCAGGAAGTGACGGAAGCAGTCGTCCGTGTTCATCACTTCCACCTTAGTCAAGTTATCGTAGCCGTCCAGCGAGACGGCGTGGAAAACGACGTCCGAGTCGATTGCCTGAGGATTGTCTGGCATGGCGAACGTCGTGCGGTTGGAGTACTGTTCGATGCGGGACTGCGCTTCTTGCTGGGGAATGGTGACCTATAGGAGCTGTTAGGGTTCTCTGATAGAACAAGGTGTGATGACAGGATGTGGTGACATACCTGGAAGAATTGCAGCGTCTTGTCCTCCCACACCTTCGCGTACGTGTCTGCAAGCTTGCTCCATTTCTTCTCCATCGGGTAAATTCCTGAGCGGGCGAGCGTGGCGATGGAGCGCAGGGCTGCCGGGGCCAGGGCCGTGTTCACGTCATAAGGGATACGACCACCGCCGATACCTGCGTGGCGTCAGATTTATCAATCGATCAGAAGAAGAGTGAGCATACCATAGAAGCTGTCCCGCCATTCGCCGACAGGTTGATCCGCCTCAAGATGGAGGAGGTTCTCCTTGGTCTGGTCCGTGACGAAGGCCGCGGTTTTGCTCATGATATACTCGGCGTTTCGCAAAGCCAGGTCTCCCCATGTTAGGCCCTGGTTGTGAGTATCAATAGAGCCGGCTGGAGTCCTATGATGGATGTTAGATTTGCCGGTGATTGGGTGAGAGTATGAAGACATACTTAGAGAACTTGGCCCATCTCTGCTGCCCGACAGGGCTCTGCACAAAGTAGCGCTGCATCAAGACTGGGAGATAGTAGCTGGAATCAATCTTTGGCGGGTGTGTCAGTAGCTAGCGTTTTGGTTTTCCTTTCTTACTTTCTGTTTTGCTTATCTTGAGGGAAAAGCTTACCGCGCCGTAGGTGCAGCCTAAGTCGCTATTGTTAATGCCCAGCTGCATGTTCACGAAGGTGGCATAGTCACTGCAGACAGTCAATAGGATGACTCAGACGGAAAAATAAAAGCAAATGTGACTTACCCGATCGTCTCTTCATGGCAGACCATACCGTCGGTGCGGTTAATTCGCTCCAAGACAGCCCCCAGCACGGCTTCCATGGCGCTACCATTACCCTGACTCAGAATCGGCTCCATGAGCAGCGCTGTGATCATCGAGTCTCGGCCGAAATACGTAAGGAACCGCCAGGCACCGGCGAGTAGCTTCTCCGAGTATGACAGGAATGCCACTGCTTTGGTATCTCCGGGATCCAACGTGGTCAGTCCCCGTGACTGAGAGTTTAGCACCGCAGAAGGCTTCAGCTGCGTCATCTGTGGGTAGTTCATCTGCGCGGTGACGAGGTAGTCGCCCTTCGTGAAGTCCAGTGTGCCTTTGCCCACCGTAACCTTACTGGTATTGGAACTACCGCACGGGGCGAAGTGGAGAGTCGTAGTGGTGACATTGTCCAGCCAAAGGCGCGACACCTGCGCGCCGGTGCCGTCCTGGGCGAAGTTGTTGGCAGCCTGGATGATGGGATGAAGAAGGCTGGGTCCCTCAACGAAGTCGCGGATCGTGCGAATGCTTCCTAGGATCGGGAGAGTGAGGACGGCGGAGTCGTTCAAGCGGAGGACTCCCTGCACGCCGACACTGGGTGGCATGCCACTCGAAGACGGCGCAGTATAGGCGGGTCCTAGCGGCTGGCCGACGGTAGAATTGATCAGCTCAATGTTCAGGGTRCCGTTGGGAGCATTCTGCGGCGCGAAGTAGGCGCAGGCGCCGCTATCGCCGGCCGGCCAGGCGAAGATCAGGCGCGGACCGATCTGCTTCAAGTCGCTGTCGGGCAGCGGGCTGGTGACGACCGCCTGAGCAGCGACATTGCAGTCGGAGTAGAAGAAATTCTTGTAGGGCGGATCGCTCAGCGCGAGGGTTGAAGGCGGATTGACGCAGGAAGGAGCGCCCGACTGGACAGCCACAGCAGCCCCCAAGGCGCCGAAGACGCTCAATTGGAGCAGATTGGAAGATTTCATGGTGGTTGTGAGTCGAGCTTGTGAGTCGAGAGAAGCTTTACGACCAGGCAGATTGTCATTGGGGCTGGGTCGGGGGGTCGGTATTTAACATTTCTGAGCGGACGAGTATGGGGAAGAGGGAAGAACAAACAACCTTCCCAAAAGGGAAATGCAGGTGAGTTTATTGCGATTGTGGGGAATTATTCACCAATTAATAACGAATGCTCATGCGGAGGACTACCCTCGCTAGCCCGATAAATGTCCGCGTTCTCCTCCACGACAACCCACGGGAGTGACGACGGGAATAGGAAGTAGTCATAAGGCAGGCGAATCCCGAGTGCGGAGTCCTTACATTTGCAAAAGATTAGTCATGAAGGAGATTAGCTTTTTAGGTGGCTTTACTAATTCGCGACAGCCTCAGCTTCGCACCATCTTCCATGTCGTTCTGCCCGGAGACGCTACTAAAGGGGATAAGGGAGGCCGCCTCAAATCGAAAAAAAGGCATGGAGATCAAACTTTATCCATAGGTGACTTGCACCATCGTTTCTTTCTTGAAAATATCCCGGGAATGGCCCACGAAAGTCGGTCTTGCAGAGGAGAGAAGTTTTTATCCACCCCGAAAATGATCATCAAATTTGACGCAAACAAGAGGGAAGAGCACAGGAAAAGAGAGAGCTCAAAGACTACTATGTGTTCAATTGGGGAAGGGTTTCTGTTGCCTAGAAACTTAAAGCCACAAGGTAGTACTGCGGTCAAGATCAGAGCTCTTGCGCTTCCGTGGTCTTACATCAGATCATCATGTGGAGATACAGATCAGGTCTCGTGTTTACGGTTGTGTCGCTGCACACCACCCACTGATACTTATGGCGCTTTCCTGCAAAATCTTGTCAAGATCATATGCACACAATGGTATTAACAATCGTCCCCGAGAAGGCGAAGAGCCAAAAATCGGCCATTTCTCCCCCGGCTCTGCAATAAGAAGCCGGCAGGAACAAGTCGGGGTAGAAAAGCTTATATTGTAGTTGCAAAAGTGGACCCCTCGTATTTGGAAAAGCAAGAAGTTGCACTGGGACAATACAGCCACGT